CTGTTTCTTTGAAAAGCCAGTAGAAAGGCTATTGTAAACTTACAAACCCATCCAGTATTTGTATTTTTGTTTAGCATTTTTGCCTTGTGGATTAACTGCAACAAACACCATCAAAGGCTAATAATTTAAACATTCAGTTGTAATTTATTTTTATAATCCTTTTCACCCTCTTTATGATATACTGCTTCAGACTAAATCATCACATATTAATTGAAAGCAGATTTTTACACACACTGTTAGATCTTGAAAATATAATCATATTTGGCTGTAGCAGCAACTTCTATCCAATAAAAAATATGCAAGAGAGAGCTGTTTTTCTGCGGCGAGAATTGTGTCATGAAGCTTGCTCTATTAATACGGTACATTTCATCGTTGTTTTCCATCACTGGTGTATATCTCTCAAACCATTATTTTCTATGACAGGGAACCTCTTAAATCGTGACAAAGAGACACGATGTGCGACCTTGTTTTTTTCTTTCGTCACAGAGAAACAGAGATCACCTGCCCCACATCAAAGTATTTAAATCCAGCAGTCAGAGCACACAGGGGCCCAAATCTGCTGCAGTCCAAGGCAAGAGTTTAGGTCATTCTGATGGGTCAGATGGGGTTCCAGCTGACTTTGACTGTGGGCATTAAGAGCCTGTTCACTGGGGCTCCTCATGCTCAGCAGAAGGATACAGGTGATTTCAGAGAGACGTGGTAGCAGGGACTAATCCACCCCCTGCAGACAAGTGGCAGGTTAGGATCTGGGTCCAATCAGCGCACTTGTTCTCATGAACAGCAGTGAGCATTCACAACCTGGGGGCTCTCCAAAGAGCAGAAGTATAAACCCCAAGTCATCTTTGCTAATGAAATTCAGGAACACACACGATATCAGAACATTTTCTAAGCTGGCTGCAATCAGCTCAGCCCTGTGCTGCGTTATTTGTCATCTGGTCTTGCCTGGTGAATGTAGTGTCCCCTACTGTATTGACGACACATCTTTATTTCTTCTTTAACGATAACGATCTGCAGTGTACCTGGCGAGTCACGATTGCAGCTGAAGACTCCCACACCCAGTACAGAGAGTCCAGGAGTTCCTCACAACAATGATTGTAGCCACACAGGATGTGTAGGCCTATAGACTAGTTCTGTCTTTCGGCTTCAGAAGAAAAACTCGAGAAAGCAGACTACCTGACAGATTCTTAGCGGTTAGAATAAAACTATTCATCCTTGTAATTGTGAGAGGTATTTATGTTACTGAAAAAGCTGCACATACTGCTGTATATGGGAAAGGAACAATAACACAGTGCTATCTATTGATTCTCCCTATTACTGGTTCAGGTTTTTACTTCTGAACTTAAAACAGCAGGGATCAGGAAAAAAGTGGAGTTGTTAATCATGAGAAACCCAGTATTATACATGTACTTTGGCACAGCACTGCTCATGAGCTGAAATGATCAGGGCCAAATTTATTAAGAGGGCTGTAAAAACAAAGCTTCCGAGATGGAGTTGGGAAGTATTTTGATTGACTCAGGGGTTATTTGAACACCTTAATCAACTATGAAAGCAAACACAACTTTCAGACTTAATTACCTTAAAACAATTGGGAACTCTTTGATTCAAAAGGCTGCCTGCTCAATTTTCAATGCTTGACTTCCTCCAATGCTCTGAATCTGTGAGGCACCAAACGGTGTAATAAGTCAGAGGCCTGTCCTGGTTTAACCAGGTCTTTCTGCTCCTGTTATTCAGCAGAAATTACTATGGATATGACAACTTTCAAACACACAATGTGGTTTTAACAGGCCATAGATTCCAACAATTTCTGTTTAAAAAGCGAGAGTATCTTTACATAAAATTAAAACAAACTATTTTTAATCAGCTTCAATCAGTGTCTCAATAACAGAAACCAAAATTGTTTCCTACAGTGTAACAGCCTTCCAAGGTTCACAACAACGTGATCCTCCTATTGGAATAAGCAGCAGATGTTTCTTTTGTTTTATTTAATTCAAGATGCAGAGGGAAGACTTTGGATATGGTGAGATCTCCGTGCCGCATCGTCAGAGCTGCATCTCCACCACAGGCTGCTGAGCACACCCTCTCACAGCCCACCCTTGCCGCTGGAACACCAAAGGCATCGTTTTTGTTCCCCTTCAAAATATAGAGCAGAGATCCAAGATCAGATGTGATTTATAACCACTGACTGCACCCAGCTGCTGGTGCTCCGAGCCAAGAGCGAGCCTTGCAGAAGCAGCCTTCTGTGGTTGAAGGTACTCTTTTTTTTTTTTCAGAAAACAGATTCAAATTCACCAATTCTTTTTCAGGACATGCCCACCATTTGGAATCATACCCACCAAACCACCCATGAAGCCATTTAGGCCATGAGCACGGCAGCTACATACAGGAGGTTGGTTGGCTGGGAGACAGACATGTCCCTTAGCGATCTCACCTGAAGTCTGCTGCAGGTGCACAGAAAGGCACAAGCGCTTTGCATGGAGAGCTGCAAGCACAAGTTACGGCTGTTTTGTGTGGATCCAGAGTGGCCCGACTCTTCCCACTGGTGTGCTGCCACTCTGAGGAACCAGAGACACGACTGAGGCTTGAACTCACAATGTGTCGATCAAAGTGAAGTGAGTGCTCACCGCCTGCACCATTCGGCAGCTTTGGGAAATGCAATCTTACCTCCCCAACCTAGGATCACTTTTGTGAATCCCCACAGAAACACGAAACCAGTCACTGGAATACTAGCTAGCCAGTCACTCATATACACACGAATCCCAGCTTCTCCTCCATTTGGTGTTCTTGGCTGCAGAGCAACTGCGAGAAATCTGGACTCAGTCACTTTCCTCCCCGATTAGTGCCGCTCAGACAGAACAAAGTGCCAGAGATGACAACCCAAAGGCCAACGGAAATAATTTGCAGCTCCATTGTGTGACCAATAGTGCCCGCTTGTGTCTGAAAATGTTTTGTCAGGGCTGCAGTGAGACATGTGGACTCTTGTTTGGCGCTGTGTGTGAGGTCAACACAATAACTCATTGTTGCCCGAGGTCGGGGCGGGGGGGGGCAGGAAACCAGGCTGGTTTAGGGGGAACAGATAATAGTCAAGACTCTGGCGTTGACCTAACTCCACATTGTCTACCCAACAGAGCGCAGGTGACTTTCAAGACTTTCTTTGCCATAGTTTAAGTGGTGGGCAGCGCTCATGCCAAGCAGGAGGAAAAGTAAGCATAAAGAGGAACATCACTGACAAATGGACCAGCTCTGCTACTGGGAGGCCGGACTGTCGGAATACAGGTGGGACCCTCAGATACATTCTGACTAGTCTTTTTCAGATAGCACCCTTACTTTGTTTAGCATAACTCTTGCTTTTATATTTGATTTAACAAATTTTTTTAAAAAGATATAGGCTTCCTTTTTGGACGTATAAACAAACCTTTTCAAATTCAAATGCCACTGATGCTCTGAACTGGAGTAACTAAAGTTTTGCACGCACCCCGAAATCCCACCTGCGAATGGGTAGAATGCAATCCTTCATCTTGGGCTTTCATCTCCTCACATAGCTGAGCAGACATGACCTCAAAGTCGAGCTCAGTGGAAAAAACTCACAATGAAAATTCCGCTTTTGACAAGGGTAAAACATATCTACAGCTCAGATGATATTAATATGATCCCTATCTGGTCTGTTTGTTCTGTTTGATGCAGGAGGGAGGACTTGCAGTTCCTCTGAGTAAACTGGACATGTGGCCAGCAGTACCTTCCCAGCAGTACCTTCAGAGATGGTACTTTTCTGCAGTGTTCAGAAGTCGGACTCCTTAAAACAAAGACAAGCTGTCGACACAGCAGACAAACGAGATCCATTGTTTGTAATAACCTCAGTTATTGCATCTAAAATTCAGAAAGCAGAAGGTGAAGTTTTCCAGTGTTACAGGAGTGTTTAGTTTGCCTTTTTAAAGCGTTTTAGGCTTTTTCAAATGTCTTTCAGCTTCACAGGACTCTTCGGATCTGAGACTTGGCAAACTCTGAACTGAGTCCAACTCCTGACCTACATTTATATAAAATTAACAGTGCCCTTTTGTAAAGCCCATCAAGTTGAAATAACAAAGTGCTGTATTACGTCAACACTCAAATACAAATTATTGGCACCGATGGTGAGAAACTTTAGCAAACAAACAACCTTGGTTGCAACAGCGGCAGCCCTCAAATTTTCGAGAAAACAAGTGCTGTGTTTCTAAGAGCGCTTTCATCTAGGTATTGTGTTACCCTCTGAGAGTACAGTTTTGACTTCTGTGGTCTGGCTCTCCTCTCTGGAGTTCACTCACCCTGACAATGAAAACCTGCGTATTTATAGCAGGAAGCTGCATTTACCCCCACGTGCTTTCTCTTCTTCTAATCTCGCCATCAAATGCATTAGAAAAACAGTTCACTCTGTTCCCATGATTTATCATTTATGGCTATCATTCTCATTTGCTCTTTCAACACCAAGCCTGGTACAGGTGACATCACCCCCTTGGAACCTGGATCATGCTGAATTATCCAATGGAGGGAGGCCTGGCCTTTTGGCATAGTGTAATTCTCCGCTGTCTAGCGGAATGGTGCCATGTGGCTCTGAAATCAGAAGGGCCTGTGAGTTTCCATGATCAAATGCTGGCGGGGACAAGAGCTCTACTTGTTCAGAATCCAGGACTGGGGGCAGCGTGGAGAAGTAATTGGGACTCTGGAGTCGTTACCATGTGGTTGAGGGTTCAGACCCCATGCAAAAAAGTGCCACTCCTGCAGTTTGCTCAGCTGTACAAACAGGCACCAGAGCTGCTGGGGAGCTAACCTGTCCCACCAACCTGAAACAGGTGGGGACCCGAATTAACCACTGGTTCATGAAGGACTCCACCCACTTCTGACTATAATCCATGCAGAAACAGCATATGAATGGTAGGAGTTACAAGTTTAATAAAATGATGAAAAGAAATTGCTTATATTCTTGCAACTTCATTTCAATATTGTGAATAAAAAAGTGTAAAAGGGTCTCTGCTTTAAAACACATTTAATATCAAAATCCGATTAATAGTGCAAACGTACACACAATATTGTACAAACGAAAATCATGTTAACAGGCTCCTTCATTTTACAATGTGTTACTATATATTTACATTAAAGACTATTCTCCTTCCGTGGTGTATACTGCAAGCGTGCACTGATTCATATCTCAATGCTTAAGAAACGATATGAGAGAAGAGAGAATGGACTATAATAACATTATTAATATCTTTATATCTTTCACGTGTTACACTGTGGGGAACTGTAACACGTGTTCTTTCAGATACTGTTTCAAAACAGATGTGGCTCGCCAGGGCAAAATGAACTATTTAAAAATATATATACATATGGGTGTAAAAATGAAGGCCCACCATTTTAATGGGTTCAAATTTGAACACCCCAGCTCGCTGTCTCAGTTTTATTTTACTGATTGATCTAGATGCTAAGTTACATGAGACTTCAAAATGCATATGAAAAAAAAAGAAATTCTTTAAGGAAAGAAATCAAAAGCAAGGAAATGCCACTTTATTTTGATTTATTTCTGAAGCAGAATCTGTTCCTCTCTGAACAGGAGCTGGAATCTGTAAAGTCCACACCTGGCCGCAAGGCAGAGGCTGGGGGCTGGCTAGAGAGCAGAGTACACCTCGAAAGGAGTGCCAGGGGTCCCAACTCTTCAGGCAGGTCCCTCTTGACATAAAAGCAGCAAATTAAAAAATAACAAGAAAACATCTGTAGAAATGGCGCCCTTTTTAATTGGTTACAGCTAGAGGAGGGGCTTACAGATGCTGCCGCGTCTCCTGCGATTTCTGCGAAGTGCATGAAGGAGCAGCAGGGTCCTCTCCAAACAGACGTTTTTAAGTTGACTATGCGAGCAGAAGAGCAAGTCCGCCTGGTGTCAGAGATGTTGTGCCTTTAGGAAAGTGACAATGCACACAGGCTGTCTAATTGTTCTGGGTATAAAAACTGAAGAACCTCCCTCATGCCATCATCACAGGTTCTGGTCTCTGGGTTTTCCTTTCTGTGGGCTTCCTGCTCCTTGAACTTCTTCCAGGTCTCTGAATGAACAGTGGGGGGAAATAATCATTCGAGCACCTCACCGATGTCATGCAAGAAACGTCAGGCAAACCCGAACACTTCCACAACAATATGGGGATGATCAAGCATATTCAGACGACCCAGACTCATCCGCTCAAGAGAGTAGCCAAAGAGGTCTGCCACGGACAAATCATCGGTCTCTTGGTAAACCAGTCTGCTGTGCTCTGGGGCAGTGCCCTGGCACTGGTTATTTGGAACCAGACAATCAGAATTTCTTACGAAATTCAATTCCCTTTGTCAGCATTATGCTTTTGTTCTGCCACAGGTGTTTATGTTTTTACCAGACCCGTAGATGAGTCATGTCTTCTGTTTGTTTTTCTAGAATTTCTAAAGAATCTCTCCCTGCTTAACAGGCCTGTGCCACATAGCTGCTTCACTCCACTGCCCACTGGCTCAGCAACTATAAAACTTCTCCTTGTTGGTGAGTAACCCTTTCCTGTACTCTGCAGTGTTCAGGGTCCTCTATTTTACATCTTCATTTAGTTAGTTACTGTAAGAATCCTTACCAGATCTTGGCCCTCTCAAAGTTTTTTTTACATCAGTCTTAGCCCTGTCTAGTCTTGTTTAGGGTCCTTTTGGTTTTCTAGATCTCTTTTCGCTTCTTAGTTGCTACAGACTGTGATGGGGAAACATCACATACACCCCATAGATCAGGCAATTACTTGAGGTAAGAAGCCAAGAGCAGAAATGAGATGAAAACCAGAACCTTCCTGTGGGTTTTGAGAACCGGCCAGTCAGGAATCAGTCACAGCTCTCTTCTGTGCCGATGAGCCTGTCAGTGACGGTCTCAATTTATCCTTCATCATCTGTCTGTTTCTGTTACCAAGTCTTTATAGCACTAGAGGATTCAAAGCTGGACTATGGCCAGTGCTCATCGCTTGATTTCGGTTTCACCGAATGCTTTCATTTCCAAATCTCATAGGAACCAAGCTGAAAAGATAATGATAATTTGCTTTCAGCTTGTCTCATAAAAACTAGCCATCTTTCCATCAGCGGCATCTGGAAGAGATACTTTCCATTTTCACTTCTGAGCAACGCGTACTCACTGATGCGGCTGACAGGAGAGTTTAGCGCAGAGTGGAGAAGCAGCATGTACAGTACCTCACTGAACTAACTGGCAAGAGGATTTAACTTACAATGGAGGAAATGTATTACCCATGCTAAAGAAAGCCTGCAGGCACCTGGGAATCACAAAGGTTGCTGTATTTCATTGGACAAGAAAGACCTGGCCACCTAATTCCGGTGGTACCCAGGAGCTCACCTGGACACTGCCATAAGGGGGGAACCCAGAGAGAGCTGGGACTGCTGGCTAGAGACGTGATTCAGACCTGGCCTTGCTCACAGAGCCCTGGCTCACAGAGCCCATGCAGTGCTCAGAGGGAGGGCATTTACTGGGGGAGACAGGTCAGGTGCTGCATCTGCCAAAGCTTTCACAACATGAGAACGGACTGCCTGATTGGAGTTAAAACACACGCCTACCCTCATCAAGCCTGGTCAAAAAGACATAATTCTCTGGATCCTCCATCAGTGTTTCCCTCTGAAGCTCCTCTGTTTCCATAAAATGGAGAGATCCTGGAAGGAGGAATGGAAAGTCACTGATGACTCTTCAGTGCATCCTAAACCAAGGCCAGTGATATCAGCAGACAGTGATTGCAGCACGAAGATCATGAAAGCAGGCAACATGTTTGCTTTTCTGAAAAAAACTACCCAGCCAACTTGCTGAAACTGATTTGGATTGATTAGGAACATACCAGCTGCTAAATAAGCAAGATGGGGACAAGTGGCCGCCTCATACTTTTTGATGTTCTTAAAAAATGATTTTCACACATTTCTATCCTTGTGAAAGCTTACCACCATAATAGGACATACATGTTGCACACTTTTTCCATGGCTCTAATCTTGACTTTCCTGGGCTTTACCATGACAAATACGACCTTCATGCTTTACCATTGCTCACACCCAGTTTCACGCATCTGTGCTTTCATGTCCTTTCACCCTGGTTTCTCTGGGCTTTGTGTGATACTCTACTCAGTTTTGAACAAATGCAAAGTGCAGAAAGGCAGTTCTCATGAAAGACACCAGTACCATACTTAAGGTGTACTGTCTGTGTGACATGCTCTTCGGCACAAATCCTGGCCTTTTTGCCATCTCCTTCCCAAGCTGTGGGAAAGAATGGGAATGCGACTTTCATCACCATGGCCAAGGGCTTTCCAGTAGCTAGCTGGCATCCATGCACATCTGACATGACAGAGAAAGCAGCCTGTGTGTTTCCCTAATCAGACATTCAGTGGACGCAGAAACCACTCTGTCCCACTTGCGGTGCAATTTCCACTCAGCATGTTTGGATCTACAGCCTGCAGCCTCACCTGACCTCACCACGCCTCCTCATGCAATCTCCACTTGCCTTCTACTGTCTTCCAGACGTGCACCTCAAGCTCGGCAGCTCCTTGTCTTTCAATGGCAATCTTTCGGACAGTACTGTCTGTGCCGGAGCCCACTTTGTAAACCAGAAATTCAGCGCTGTCTTTTCCCGGGGAGCACTGTGTCCTGTTCTGTTCCGTTTTTTGCTCTGCTGTGAGAGAGAGGAAAAATCTTTTTGTTTGTTTGCTAAAACACTTTATTAACTTATATGTTAACTTGAACTGTATTCATGAAGAACCAAAAAAAAAGCTGCAGAAAACCTGCTGCTCTCCATTCGCTGTGTCTGTGTCCGTGAGGGTAAGCACGGACTGTCCAGGGATTCCCCAGAACGAGCAAGACATGAACCAGGGGACGCCAGTGGACACCACAGGGGTGCGCATTATAAATATAGAACAGGAGGCACTTATTTACACTAGGGGTGGCGGGTGTCTGGAAGAAGCTACCGATATTCCTAATTGAAATAAACATGTGGGAGCGTGGAACAACTTGTCCGGCCATGTTATTGAAGTTGATACCCTGGCCTCTCTCAGGAAACGTCCCGGGGAGATCCTCCTCTCAGCTGGAGACTAAAACCCAGAAGGCCTCCCCCCACCTCCTGCTCCTGAGGTCTGGCACATCCTACCTGGGCATGTCTTGCAGCACTCGCCCTCAGTCTTCTCGGGGTGCTCGCAGGGATACTCCCTGGGGCAGGTGATGCGCTTACACTCCTGGACGCCGTCCTTGCACGTGCACAGGATGCACTCCAGGACCTTCCCCAGCTCCGGGTGCCACAAGTCCCCATGAGAGTACGTCTTCCCGTTGTACACGCAAGCTGGGGGCGGGACAGCGGGGAAAACCTGGGTCACGCCGCACCTCTCCATCCAAAAAAAGCGCGTAAGAGAAACGTGACTTCTGACCGACTGCCTATCCCTGCCTGTGCTCCAGCCTGTGCAGAAGCTGCCCCCACCTCTCTTGTGTTTCCTCTGCAGGAGGATCTTTACGGTGGTGCCTGCAGCTCCACCGTGCCGGAAGGCCGGGAGATTCAGGGCCCTGGATGAGCTCCTTATGGCCGATGGGGTCTCTCGTCCTGCCACATTTTCCCCTGGATCTCCAGAACACTGGTCTTTCGAGTGCCTCTTCCATTTCGAGGGAGAGACAGGGCAAAAGAGAGGAGATGTTTAAAAAGTTATGTACATTGCACCAACTGGCATGTTGAACCTCACATATTTTACTTATGGGGCATCCAATTTGGAATAATCGATTGTTTCAGGACCCTACTCTCCAGCAGTGACTCTCCTGCTCCAGAGAGAAGGGGGGTGTGTGCACGTTCCCCCGACACGCCCACCTGCAGGGCCAATCCTTTGAAAGGCTGTGAGCTGCACCATGCCAGGCGGAGAGTTAGCGCTGATCGGAGGCGTGTGCCTTCTCTCAGCGATGTCACTGCAGGCCAGCAGGCAGGGTTTGTGTCTGAGCTGGAAGAACCCCGATTGTTAAAATCCAGTCCTTCCCCAGCAGAGCTCAGCCAATTGAGCAGCACTGCTAAGGTGATCATAGCCAGTACTTGGGAGATGTACCTATTTAAAGGCTTTTTAAAAATTGTTCTTTGATTGTGACTGTGATTGAGATTGTGCTTCTTATTAGACAAGTGCAGCAGTCACATTTTTAAACTTCCTTGGAAATCATCCTGTGTGCCAAGTATGGTACGCAGAGGAGTAATCATTTATTGGCAGAGCAAGAGTTGAGGGAACTATGGCCTGAGCACATTTCTCCCAAACCAAGTGTAACTGTCGATGTCTCTTTGACACACCACAGGGAGAGTCTGCATGGCGCACTGACAGAAACAGCTCACTGTCTGTACATCGCAAAGAAGAGGTGGGAATAGAAACATACAGCTCCTCGGTTTAGCTGCTGTCCACTGTCTTCTGTGGAAGCAGAGTTGATATTCACATCTTAAAAAAATAAGAGAGAAAATTAAAAACAAAACACAGAATATCTCATCTGCTCTGAAATGACTGTTGCCCTAGAGCTGTTAAGGAGGCTGTCTTGAGTTTTTGCCTAAGTGCTCAAAAACTCATTTCCAAAAGCCAGTGTGCAGGCTTGAGAGGGTTTTGGTGCAGTATAGTGGAGACAGCAGCAGGTTTGGCTCAGTGTCGATAAAATCAACTCAGAACTGAGAACACAGGAACCCAGAGCAGAGATTAGCCCTTTGCAATTAGCATCACAAACAAAAGCACCCAGCGACATGACATCAAGACTCAAGTGAAAGATGGATTTTAAGTCAAAAACCTTTGCAGAGTGGACAGCAACTGTCTTGCACAGACACGGGGGACGCACACGAGACCCTTGAACACGTCTTCAAGGCGCAGAAGATGTTCCCATTCTGAAACACACACAGAAAAAAAAAACACAAAGTCTAGGCCAGAGCAGGGGGAGGCAGGGAAAGCGAAGGTGTCTTGTAGGGCTGTGATGACTCTTTCTGTGGCACGTGAGACACGCCGGGTCAAGAGCACGCTCGGATCACATCCTGCCCAGTCAGGAAGGTGCAGAGGTGAGGGGGTGACCGGGGTGCGACTTACAGAGCAGCTGCACGTGACGCACTGATTGGGCAGCCGAGAGGGAAAGAGCTCGTCGTTGGAGAAGGTCTCCCCAGGCTGGTAGAGGATCCCGTTGTACTGGCAGGACTTCCCGAGGGTCCTCAGTCCCGCTGGGCTCCTTGACTCCTCGTCTGCAGCCGGATGGGGGGGGGAAATACTTAGTTGAGAAGAATACAAGAGGTTACGGACCAGAGGAGACCATCCTGTCCTTCCAGCCTGTGTGCTAGCTCACCGATCCCAGGAGCACATCCAGCTGGCTCTCCAAGGACACCAGGGTATGGGCTTCAACAACACAAGGGTGGGCAGCTTGTTCCATGCCCCCCAAAGATGTATGTAGTCCCGAATATTTTAATTAGAAAAACAGAACAACATGGGATCAAGGCTAGGGAAGGAAACCCATCTAGGCTAAGAAATAAACTATTCCTCTGTGAGTATTTGTGCTCATCACAAGGCCACCACACTATTTGCAAGCCTTCTAGAAAGGAGGTCATGGAAGTAGTTTGGGAATATCCCTGGCTTCTCTCTGACCGGCGTTGTGTGTCCGCAGAATATTTAGCAAATGCAAACGCAATAAATTATCCTAACCTGCACATCGAGGGCAGCACTGCTGAGAGTCGGTCACCGGATTTTTACATCTTAGGACCGGACACTTGATGGCGTTGCAGTTCACATGGCCTGTCTGAGGAACAGAGCTCTTATGAGACACCCAGACACCCACTGCACACCCTCGGACACCCGTGGGCGCTGGCGAACTAAACAACGCAGAGCGTACATGACAATCACGGCATTTCCTTTAAAAAAAGTCAAGAAAACTAACAGCCTGTTTTACTTGTTGTATAGCAGAACAGCACCACCTCCTGGGAAAAGTAAAAAGCTTTTCAAAAGACTGCTTTAACAATCACTGTATACTTCAGACTCAGGTTTACGACGCGAGAGAATTGTCAATCTTAAAAAAACAAACAAACAGAAAAGACTGGTTTCTCTTGTCTCACAGTGTAATCTATAAAGGAAATCGTTGTACTAACTTGCCAATGCAGATTTTATTTTTAAAAAGGGATATTGCCTTTACTCAAGTTAACCGATTTTTCTCCCTCAATGTGACAGGCTAACGTGAATTGGATAACGCTAACAATGCCAGAATCAGCGCCGTGCAGCTGCTGAAGGGATTTACGTTTTCATAGGAAAACTGACCCTCCGCCTCAAGCGGCAGGAGGTACCTGCGGCGGTGCGATCAGTGCCCCTCCAGACTGACGTGCGGGGAAGAGGAAGACTGTACCTCGGCGCATGTGCATCGCATGCAGAGCACGAATCCGTAAGGCTCCAGATAAGGGTGCCAGCTGTCTCCTGGACTGTATCTCTTTTCTTTAAAAGTGCAAAACGTGCCAGGGACTGCAAAGAAAAACAACACGAAGTGCTCAGAGGGGGGAAGAAAGTCTAGCGTATTGAAACAAAGAGGACGGGGCCGATTCCACGCATTCCTGAAATGGTTGGCAGACGAAGCTTTAATTGCCTTAAAATACGGTTTACACTCTGGATCATTCCTACACGAGGGAGTGCGTCGTAAACAAAGCTTCATGCCAGAGCCTCGGGAACTCCAAGACGCCAGTGTGGTTGTACAGTACCAGCCCTCTCTGTCCCTTCACACAAGGCGCAGAAGTATGTCAACGTTATTTCCAATGGGAGTAGAATCCCATGGGAGTAAGCAAAAGGGATTCAAACTTTATAAATGGCCAAGAACGAAACGTTTTCTTTTCTTTACGGTTCGATTTGGGTGGTCGGGTTTCACCAGAAGAGCGAAGAATATGAACAAGACGCGCCGGGCGCACACATGACCCTCTATCAATTTCCCTCAAGTGATCAAGCCCAGGACCGAACCTACCTGATCTAGACTCAGTCAAACCCCTCCAGGCCACTCATAGCGCATAGACATGAAAGGACATTACGTAAAGGAATCCTTTTAGCTGCCTGCAGAACACGCTATTTATTTTAAATGACAGGTGAATAATCCCTTCCTTTAAAATACTCTTTTCAACAGCCTCAGCCCCATCGTTAGCCGTCGTTATCGAATACGCAGAAGAGCTTGTTTGCAAAAAGTTCTATTTCATTTCAGCACTTTCATTCAGTTTATTACCAGGTACTGTACATTTTACCTGTTCAACCTGTTTATAAATTAGCTGATTAACAACGTGGTATCAATAGCAGCATATTGTATATTTTAGCACTTTGCAAAACGAGAAAGAAAGTTAAAGTCTTGTTTTGTTTTGTCAAATTATATATTAATGCTGGCGAAAAAAATTGCCCGAGCTTTGCGATTTCAAAGAACAAACACAAATAGTAACAGGAAAAAAAACTACTTCTAAGACGTTTCCGTAATACTAACAACAAAAGGAAAATAATTAGCAAAACTCATAAATTCTTCACCACGAGAATGTTTTCAAATTCATACGGAAAAGCATCATTAAAATCGATCATCATTAGCTGATATCACTTTTAAATTAACATTAAAAACGCGATAACTTTAGCAGTCCTGAGGTTCTCCAGTTTTAAAGCGTACGCAACGTTTTTTCTTTCAAGTTCTAAACAATACTGCAAAATAATTATTCCTCTTGTATTATTCTGGTTAATTTTACTTACTTTTCCTCGTTCTTATTGCTTCTACATCAAGAATAATGTACAAAGCCAGACTGAAGAAGACGAATAGGTGCTTCATGCCGGAGACGATTTCTTCAAGAAATAAATAAAAATATAAATGTCGCCAGTGACTACAAATATATTTCTGAGGTTGCAACGCGACAGCAAACGACCACAAAACCAATGTGAAACTCCGCATCAAATCATAAATCTAGTCTCCAGATGTGTCGAAGATGCGCGCCTCCTACAGGACACCCTGAACATTTTCTGAAAAATAACTATCCCCCGGGTCTGGGTGGACGAATGTTGCGTGGATTCCCGAAATTTGACAAAACGATGAGTTATTTTATATGTTTGAAATTGCTGTTTTGCACAGTGTTAACGATATATTACCATGTTTCCTCTCACCCGCAATACAGACCCATAGATCGCATGAAAGAAAGGCAAGTGAACACGAAGTGACAGAAATAATTACCAGCGACTACTTAAACCTTTCCTTGTATAAATGGAAAATAACGGTTCTTTTTTTAAACTATATATTTTGTAAAAACATGTAAAATAATAAATGGTGCTTTCGAAGCCTCAACAGGAAGTTCAGCATCACTGCTTGTCTGATTCTTGTTCTTGTTTCACAGTTTTTCCGTTTTTCACGCCTCTTATTTTTTTTGTGCACGATCTGAGTGTCAGGGACCTATAAGTGGTGAAATTACTGCACTGTAATAACTATCCAAACATCATCATTGTTGAATCGGGTGTGTGAACACATTAATGGCACAGGATACAGAAGTCGTATTTAACCTGACATACAGCCCTGTGGACCGTGAGCTGTGAACGAGCAGGGTGGGTGCAAATTTGCCCCACGGGCAGCCGGCGAAATTCGTTACCCGCTGTACAAAAGTTGTGGTTGTTGGTTTTTGTGTGTGTGTGTGTATTTATATGCCTGAATTCAACTATGCTACAGAAATGACCAGTTTCTATGGCTATGTTGTATGTGTATGTGGGTGTTGCATTTTTGAAAACCCTGGGATACTGCCCCAGACTCCGTGCATGTTTCTGTGAACCCAGTATCCACCCCCTGATTTCTGTTTTTATCACTTTTCCCGGTCAATAAAAGTATCCCCTGCCTGTAATTTCCCAGTCTCAGCGGGATTAACTTCTCCATTGCGCTGGATCCCTCTCTCTCTCTTGCGCCGCCTGGTGGCCGTGTGTACGCCTGCTGCCGACGAGACTGACCCGATCAATCCAAACGTTGTCAAGATGAAGGATTCAATCTTGTCTTAACCTCGGGCTTTAAGGACAAAATGACCGACTGAAATCAATAAAAGAGCGCCGAAACTGCAGAATCGGTGATTAAATCAGTGACAAGGGCTAAGGCTGAAGCTCTGTAGCTCCAACAACTGGTGTTAATTGCTACCCAAAGGAAAATAAAGGCTCCTGCACATTGCCTATTTTTAAAACACATTTTCTAATAAAAAAAAAAACTTACAGACAAGCGGTAGTTGAAACCTATCGGGGTTGCGATAAATAAAAGTAAAACCAGAAGGAGCTCAAGGATGGAAATGAAAGTGCTGCAGGCAGGTCACTGTGTTTCTGTTCACTGGGACTTTAACTGAAGTGTCAGAAAGTTGAAGAAGGTCGGGTCCCCCTTAGATCACGCCCCGACTCTCTCCTCTTGTCGGTTTTGTTTTGAATCACTGAAACAGGGCAGAGGACTGGGGATAATAACGAAATTAAGCAGCCAAGCTTGTAAACAATAAATCAACAAAACGTGAAGTGAGGGGGGGAGGGTCTCTGGACTAGCAAATGTTTTCGGAAACAAACTTTCCTATTCAGCAATGTCCCTGTATTTCACTACATAATAAGTATAAGGCTCACACTTCATACAAAATCGCTATCACATAAGCTTCCCTAAATGCAATTCGCTAAGAACGAAAAACGACAACAACCGAAACAAAGCAAAAAAAATATAACTTCGTTTCTGTTTCCGCAACTTCGCAGTGGAGGGAGAGAAAAAAAATCTGAGTCTTATATTCGCCGTTTTTTGCTGCTTGTGGTTATTTTTCCCTTCCGTACGTTATTCATATTTTATCACCCTACGTCTTCGCCAAAAAGGGCGGGGACTGCTTTCAAAAATTACAAGCAAGGAAAAAAAAAAACGCTTAAAAAAAAAAAGGAAGATGGCGGCGCTGAGGTCCGCCGAGTACGCTAGCACCGGACCGGGGCCGCGGCCGAGGCCGGGGAAGAGGGACCGGAGAGGCAGGGTCCGGCCGGCCGGGGCCGAGGCGGGCGCCGGGGCGCCTCCGCGACAGCTGACGCTGGAGGAAGCGCGGTGCCCGGTCTGCCTGGAGATCCTGCTGCAGCCCGTCACCATGCCGTGCGGGCACTCGGTGTGTCTCCCCTGCTTCAGGCGGACCGTGGAGCTCTCCAGCCTGTGCTGCCCGCTGTGCCGGCTGCGGGTGTCCAGCTGGGCCCGCAGGCAGGCCCGGGAGAAGCGCCTGGTCGACGCCGAGCTGTGGGAGAGGGTCCGGCAGAGCTACCCCGAGAGATGTCGGCGGAGGATGGAGAGCAGTGGGGAGGCGGAGGCCTGCGTTGCAGACGGTAAATGACCCGGGCTTTTTTTTTTTTTTAAATTATTGGTCGCGTTGAAATAAGTTTTTGAAGACTGGCGGAAAAACTGCACCCTCCCCCCTCTCGCCGATTTGTATTGATGGGGGGGGTCGATTCTGTTCAGAAACTCGCACTGTAACTGATGTTTTCAGTGTCGTTGTGCTGTATGCATAGCAAATCAAACTTTTTAGTGTGCGCATTAAGCCTTTTTTGCTTGTGATTTATCATCGGACATTAACACCCAGCTTAACTTCGCTGGAGATTTGTCTTGTTAGCTTTAGTGTTACATTTACTACTAATAATTGCTTACACTTATATAGCGCTTTTCTGGACACTCCACTCAAAGTGCTTTACAGGTAATGGGGATCCCCTCCACCACCACCAGTGTGCAGCATCCACCTCCGGCGAGTAGTTTAAATCAGTAGAAGACGCAATATAATTATGTTTTAACTGATATTGTGCGGCTTTAGAAATTGCAATGCTAAAGTTCTCAAGGGGTGGGCGAGGTCAGGGTTACCTTAAGGTACAGGTACTAGATAGTTAAGATGCAACTTGTATAGTGGGCAGGATGTTTGATGGAGAGCTGTTGCTTACAGCTCTGTTCAGATGAATAGTTGCAATGCTGTTTTTGCCCCTTAATCGATAACATTTGACTTTCCGGACTTGAATATGCAAGCACGCTCTATGAAACCCCTCTATGACTTTCATTATTGGATCTACAGAGTTTGTGACATCAGGGCAAATCAAGACTGAAGTGCATCGGTTTTATAACATTAACAAGATAACAAACCACAGAAGGCCATTCGGTTTCTCAATGCAATGGATATTTACCGTTGTACCTGGTGCATTTCCTCCCTAATCTCTAACTAGAATAAGGGTCTCCTACCCAGGTCCCAGAGAGTCCCAATCTTGTTCCCCTATGGGACTACTTAACGAATTGATAATCTATACGAAGTGCTTTAATGGAAGTTTGTGGTGGTAAGTATATTAATAAATACTGCTTGGTGTTTGTGCATATTTCTTCCCATTTTGATTATCGTAGTATAATAATTGTACTCTAATAATTGCATTGAAGGGCTTCAGTTTCTTCTTTTAACAGTCCTGCCTTGGCTGGTGCGGGGAAGTACACCTGGAGCAGACTCCTTGGTCTGCAGAGCCAAGACCGTTTCACTGCAGCTGTCCTGCCCAGCCGCTTGGGAGCTTATGTCCAGCTGTAGATGTTTCTGTGTTCAGTCGGACGTGCGAAGTAGGACAGGATCGTTTTATTCTCTGCTCCTGAGATGGAAATGCTGGGATCGAATTTCTCGAACAATAATTGTGGATTAAAGAAAAAGCTCATTTCCGGCTCTCCTAAAAGACGACTAATCGTCGGCGTGAGCCGTGTGTAATGACTTCGGAGAGCTGTCCAGACTGTAAACAAGATTCTTTTTTTTTTTTAGGTGCTACTGAATGCATTAGCTGTCGAGCCTGTAGTTTTGCTGTAGACCCAGAAAAATCTCGTATTTGGCAGTCATGAATGTTAACAGACCACTTGTGCCTGCTCTGTGTGTTAAAACCAGGTAGGATTTAACACGACATTGCATGCAGAGATAGTAGCTTGCAAGCAGCGAAGCAGATGAGCAGCTGTGCAGTTCGTGGAGTGTTTGTGGAGGCAGTGCTGGCCTCGGTAGGTGACTTGTCCCAACATGTTAGAGTTTGAAGAGGGAGGAGCTTGGATTCTGGGTTCCAGGCAGGGACACAGGGAGCTCAAGTCGCCCTCTTGAATCTTCAGACAGGGTGCTTGCTGCATAAACCTTCAAATTTGGTTGCAGTTACCAAAGTCAGTCACCAAGTACCTCTGTATTTTTTTATCTATATTTGAAGCATTGAAAAAAGCAGTGCATTGTGTCAATCTGATAAAATAAGTCTTTCTTCCCATCTTAATTTGGGGAAAAAATGTACCTATATTTCCACATGTTAGTAAATGAAGATCGAGCGTTTTTTCACAGTTTGTTTGGTCTGTGGTGAAGAGTGTAAGCACCAGTTTTGTCTTTATTTGATTGCAGGGAATCAAATTAAGTGAACGCTGAATTTGATTGCAGTGGGTTTCAATAGATTTGAAAAAGAAATGTTTGTGAAACCATTTTGGAATTTGGAGGCTGCATAATTCAACACAAGCTATTTTTTTAAATCGCTATTTAAGACGAAACACAAGGCTCGGTGTGGTTTTTAACAGCCTTTTTTCTATTTATCCTAGGAATAATATTCTGTAAACCTCGCAAGATACAACAGGAGTACAAAAAACAAATGAAGAACAAGGTGAGGGCACATCGAGGTACCTGTGCTAACTGACCTCACACTTGTCGTCTTTCCTAAAGTGCGCAAGAGGTATCCTGCGATCGTGTGTGTGGAGGGAGGGATTTGGGGAGTTCAGTCACATGGGCTTTAGGATCATTTCACCATTGTTCCTGGGATTGTGTGCTGGCTTAGCTGGAGGACGAGGAAGGTGCCTCAGTGGAGATGAATCACAAGTCCCTGGAGGAGGACCAGCAGAGGCTGGAAAGCCCGAGGAAGACAAAGAGCTCCTGCAATCCCGATACAGTCTCCACAGTAAGTCCCCAGTCTGCCCCCTTACTTTGTACTGCCTTCCCCGTGTCCTCAGTTTTTTTTCCCCTGTTTCCTTAATAAGAAATTGCAAATAAAAAGATAGTCTTTTGGAATTGTTGCTGGTGGTGGGTCCTAGCATGAAGCAGGTTTACTCTTTTATTGCCTTTATTGCTACTGATTGACTGGATGTTCATTGGATCATTTTGAGGTGACGGGCAGTGTGGAGCACGAGGTGAAAAAGAAAGTACAGTCCCACTGGAAGAAAGATGAATGTGGAACGCTAAAGTGCTTTCAGGAACCTGTGAGTTTTCTTCTGCATGCTGTACTGCTACATGATTAAATATATATATTATCTCCAAATTAGGCTGCTCCCGTAGTTGTTCTTACTTGCAAAGAGATTTGCTAAGCTGCGGTCTGCAGGTGTTACATGTTCTCATGTATGACGTGTCCGCTCTGCAGTTCGCTGTGACCGTGTCAGACTCGGAGGATGAAGAAAAGAAGAAGCTGCGACTGCAGAGGAGGAGAGAGGGTCTGGGGTCCCTGCAGCTCTCCGAGGAGCCTGTAAGTAAGCCCCAGAGTGACCGAGAGGGACAGACCTCTTTCTTGGATTGCTAACAGGCTGATTTAGTATCAGACGGTACAAATCAGCTTGGTTGTCAGTTTAGTTTCACCTGTGAAGACCTGAAATGGAAATATGCTCCTATATGAGATCTCACTTATTTACTTGAATGAGTTTATTTTAGGGTTCGTAAAACATATTTTGTATTTTGGTTATTTTATCATTATTTATTATTGCTTATCTTTGTACCGTATCCACCCATCAGATTTGGTGGATCTGATCAGAAGATGGGTGCCAGTGGCCACCTTGTATGGTCAGTTTCTCATGCAGCGCTGCTGCCTGAACAGATCCCCTCCTCCTTCAGACGCGGATAATACCAGCAAGTACGACAGTGTCCTGCTTGACTGCAGTCACGTGTTCAATTCAGGTCACTGAATGGTCCTGCTTCACTGGATGTGCCTCCAACCTGCCAGCTGATGTGGCTAAATGGTTGAAACAAGTCCCAGATAATCCCGTCATTATCTCTGCTGGCAGGGAGGCATCCAACAGGTTCGATGCCCACTTGGCCTTAGAGCTTCCTGATGCATTTCCTCTTCTGGCTGATTCCAGGGGCTTTGCTGTGCTCAGGATGCGGTTCTGTGACTTCAGCCTGCTGGTTGCGGCAGTAGTGCCCGTGGCAGATGTTTTCAGTCTGCTTCCGTTCTGCTTGCAAAAGTCCTCCCGGTGTGCCATGGAATGACTCCAGCAAGCCACTTGCTCGCATTTTGTTTTCCTGGCATCCAGGGATGTATCTGAAGCTTCTGTTCATTGTAGGGTTTCATTTCCTCACACGTCCGTCTTTCCCATACTGGGTAGGCGTGAGTGCTGAGAATCAGGCTGTAAGTGCTGTGGCCCACAGAGTGTCAGTGTCGTCGCCCACTTTGAGCTCCATGCGATAGTACTTCTTCACTCTGCCTTCCGTTTCCCCCTTGACCTTATTTTTTGTCCTAGCGGGCTGTGGTGTTATCCGACTCTGAGAATGAAGAACCGATGGGGGGCAGGACCAAGCACATGTCTGCATTTAAGAAAACCAGGAACTCGCCAGCGTGTAGCAAAAGGTATCTTTCCCTTTTTTAAAGAGCGTTCTGCAGTGTTTGAGAGGTGTGCATTGGTTAGCAGAATCATAGTTTTCAACAAGCACATGTGAAAGTGCCACCCCTCTGATGGCACACCCAAAGATGCATTGTTCCCCTGTGGGCTTCACATTCATGTGTAAAGCACAGAAGTCCATTGAGCTTCACAGCACATGTGCCAGTTCATCGCTGGCTGCAAATGTGTAAATATAATAGCTGTCGTTGGCAAAGAAGTCAAGTTATTTTGAATATTCTTCATGTGCATCCCACCTGTACAGAGCTGAATAAAAGACGTAACGTTTAAGTAGATCCTTGATGGAAACAGTGCGTCTGTTACACAGCTGGGTCCTTGTTTCAGATTTTCATAGCTGGAACCCCACAGTGGAAAATGGACTGTTCAGTGGAGGTACATGTCCACAGTTTCTTTACCAGCAACATGCTTTAAAACTTAAAACGCGTCTCTTTCGAAAGCTGCATGCTCACAGGAGAAAAGCCCTTCAGCTCTTTCTCAGATGACAATCCCTGGCTGTCCCTGAGACTGTCCTTTGCTGAGTAGATACTGTAGACACTGTAACTCTCAGGGTATTTATTGTGCCGTAACTTGTATGCTTCGCAGCCTGGTGTTCTCGTACCTTGTTAATGCGAGGGGATGAAGGATTTAAATACTTTTACAAACACTGCCCCCCCAGAGCCTCTTCAAGTGGATCTTTTGAGTCTTGAACCAAATGAAATATTCTGCAGTGTTTGTGTTGTTGATAATGTTTGTATTCTTTGTTAAATACTAGTCTTCTGTCCTGCAGTTGGCGCAGTGTAAATCTGGAAAAAACTGCAATGGTTGTCAATTAACTTCTGAACAAATGCCACCCCCTCCCGGCAGGGTGCAGACGCTTGTGAGGCAGAGGAGCAGGAGCTGCACAGATCCTGAAGAAGGCCAGCTGAAGAGCAGTTGCCTGTCGCACGTTGCTGCTATGGTCAAGGTACTGCTGCTACTGCTTGAGCAGTTATTCTCTACAGTCAACAAAAAGCTTAGCTGTAAGGTACATAAGAGTGTCAGTTTCATCAACAGAGCTGTTTTTATCGAGAAGGGCCTCGCTGAGGCTTCATTTCTCACCAGAGCTCCGTTTTACTTTGCAAATGTTTCAGACTTTCATACTCTTTGTTCATGCATTTTAAAGTACATATATATTTTGCAACAGGTGTAGTCTGCTCTTCCAAATTATTCTTCAGAGGTCCTTCTCTTGTCTTTTATTTTGCAGACGAATGTAACGTACAGTACCAATGCAGGAATCCTGCTGTCCTCCGAAAACAGCTGCTCTTTCTCGGCGCCGATCTTGACTCCCGACAAGAGGCAGAGTGGGCGCTCGGGAGCGGGGCCCCCCGCCCCACTTGCAGGCCCCCCATCCAAACCGGAGAGGTCCATCAGCCCCGAGAGCAACGACAGCATCTCCGAGGAGCTGAACCACTTCAAACCCATCGTCTGCTCGCCCTGCACCCCCCCCAAGAGGCTGCCGGACGGGCGAGTGGTGGAGGCCGCGATTGTCAAGTCCACCCCACGAAACATAAGTCGCAGCCTGCAGAAGCACACCAGCTACGAGGCCAGCCCCACCATCCTCCAGAAGTGGAAGCAAATCGAGATGGACCGCCAGAGCACAAAGGCAGCATCTAAAGGAACTATCACAAGCTCTCCTGCCGAGGAGTTCCCTCTCCGGCAGAGCCCAGAGGGTGTCGCTTGCCAGCCAGCGAGTGCCAAGAAGAAGACCCCATCGGGCCACGCTGCTTTGGCTAAGGAATCGCTGAACAGAAGTCTGCCTGCTGCTGTGCCCCAGGCTGATGGCTCGGGGCACGAGAAGGGGAAGGCCTCAGCGGGCAACAAACGAAGGCTGGTATTTGATCAGCCCGTGGAAGAAGGCGGCGGCAGTGGAAGCCAGCCGGATGACGTGCGCAGCCCCCACGTGGTCCATCCGGCCCGGGGGGATCCGAGCAGCGCCGCGGGTCAGAAGCCCGGCTCACAGGGACGAGGCGCTGATCCGGGGGAGCCGCAACGTTGTG